AAACCATCTACAGGAGAAACAGATCAAAACTGATCGCCTCTAACTTCTACACCTTACTTACAGAGAAGGAGAAATTACATTTACTTACCTAAATTAAAATCTGAGGTAGAAGACTGCAAGGAAGTTTATAAATTGACTCAGCATTGTGCTGTTTAAGACTAAAAATCCCTTCCAGAACTTCATTCTTCTCTGAAACTCTTCAAAATGAGACAGAAGGAGCAGCCGAAGACTAATTTTACCACCTTTGTCTTCAATATGATTTACACTACTTCTGACAACATTGACTAGTTTCTAAAGCTGGACAGTTCAAAGGAAAAAAAAAAAAATTCCCATGCTGCCACATCATAATGAATTTATGGCCTTGTAGGAGATCATTTCCACTGAAGGAAACGATCCTGACACACAACCCCACCTGGAAGGCTTACTTGTCACCTGCTTTTCCAGCAGCATAGGAGTTCATGCTGGCAAGCAGTGATTTGGACTGGGGAAGTGACTGCTGCTACACCTAACCATTGTCTCTGTTCCCAGACCCTTTGCTGGGCAGATCTGAACTCCTGTGTCCACACAGGGGAAGTGAAACAGGCCCTTTCAGTAGCAGTGCATATATTCTTTGAGCAAGTACACCATCAAAACACAAGCTTGAGCACACCACGGTCACCTCTAATCTACCCTCCACACCAGAAAAGTACCAGAATATCTCATACTGCATTTTTTCCTTCCAGGAGTAACTGCAAACAGAAATTATGCCAGACAAGTATCAGTTTTGTAATTCAACACACAACAGGAAAACACTCAGATTTTACACTGATGGGTGCAAATTACTCAGTTTCGCCCGAGTCCCTAATCTTAAATTTTTTATAAAGAAAACAGTTCTGCTGAGGTAATAACTGATTCCTCTTTCAGTAGCACAGCTGGGTCCCCACAGTTTTTCCATTTTGCTATGAAAAATTAACATAACTGTAATAAGCCCGCTTGAGGAACAGATATATAAAATTAAAAGGAACTGAAAAGGAAGCAGAATTAAGACCAGGCAGCACAAAACTATAGGACAGAGAGAAATGACAATAAGGCTTTTGAAAAGGAGGAAGCAGGCCACAACGACAACAAAAGCTAAACAACTCTCTAACCAGAATTTCTCTCTTGTTACTTCTAGGCTCTTTATAATAAGGATCAGTTATAGGCATAAATTTGCTATTTCACAGATCTTGAGCAGTAATTAACTTTATGCTGAGGGCTCTGTCACCTCAACAGCTGGCCTACACGAACAAGCTGAAATTTGTTCCACTTCCGTGAAAGATATGTATTTCCCTAGATTACACCAAAGGCATGCAAGAACAACATACAGAAAGTCACTGAAAATACGGATAGAAAAATTGCTAGGAAAGACTACGAAAGTTTTGTATTCTTCTAAAACCACTTCTAATGTAAGCAATATAGCTTACTATATTTACTAGAGAAAGGCTTTGCATATTTTCTTCAAAATGATTGAAGCCATTTCAGCTGCTGTGTGTCCAAAAGATTAGGCTGTGCGAACCTCACAAAACCCACCTCATGCATAAGCAAAGCTGCTAAGAGAAGTGGTCGTGCCTACGTGACTTGAACATTTCAGAAGCCAAACAGATGAAGGAATTCTGCACAAGTTTTTGGAATTATGAGGTTGCCAAAAAGCAATCACTTTTCAGAACAAGTACTTTAAACATCCTCTTCAGCTTTGTGAGGAGCAGCAGTAAAACAGAAAAAAAAAAACCAACAAAACAGAAAGCCTCATTCTCTTCAGGGAGGTATCAGCAAGAGCCTATTTTAGGTACGTTCAGTTCGTCATCCAGTAAGGAAGGGTTACCCCCTCAAAGCAGTTCAAAGCAAATAAATAAACAAAAAAAGACTCTGCCCCCAATGCCACACATTCTCCATTTGTGTTTCAATACATTTTATCCTAAGATCAATTACACATTTAAATCTTCAGATTAGATATAATTGCACTGTTAAACCATTCTCATTTTAGTCAAGGAAGGACTGAGGCAGAGACTGCAGAAGCTATTGCAGCATCAGCCACGAAGCTGCTATGAAAATCCATGCATAACTGAGCTCAGACATGTTTCTACAAGTCTGAG